GTCGTAGGATCTCCAACACCCAACTTGCATAATGCTCCTTCAAATGCCTGTGTAGTAACAGCCTTGGTTAGGATGTCTGCTAGTTGATCCTCTAATCGAACAAACGGTAGACTTATTACTTTTGATTCTAGGTGATCTTTAATGAAATGTCTATCGATCTCCACATGTTTTGTGCGATCATGCTGGACTGGATTTTCTGATATACGTATGGCTGCCATGTTATCACAATACAACTTACAACTCTTCTTAGGTCTGTATCCTAGTTCAATCAAGAGTTTTCTGAGCCATAGAACCTCCGTAATCCCTTTCGCAATTCCCTTGAATTCTGCCTCAGCACTAGACATAGCAACCACCTTTTGTCGTTTGCTTTTCCAGGAAACCAAATTTCCACCCACAAGAGTGAAATATCCATATGTGGACTTTCTGCTATCACGATCTGCTCCCCAGTCTGCATCTGTAAAGGCATGAAGATCTAGATGGCCATGGTTTCCATAGATAACTCCTTTTCCAGATGTTCTCTTTAAATATCTTAAGATCCGGTACACTGCTTCGAGATGTTGCTTCTGAGGTTTATGCATGAATCTACTAACAACTCCAACTGCATAAGCTATATCAGGCCGAGTATGAGACAAATATATTAGCTTTCCAACGAGTCTCTGATACTGCGTCTGATTTACTGATTTAGCTCCTTCAATAATCTGGAGCCCATGGTTCATAACCATAGGAGTGTCGGCTGGTTTACAGTCTATCATACCTGTCTCTGTCAAGAAATCCAGGATATACTTCCTTTGAGATATAAAGATACCCCTTTTGGACCTGAGTACCTCTATTCCCAAGAAATACTTAAGATTTCCAAGATCCTTCATTTCGAATTCCTTGAAAAGTTTCTTCTTCAATTGCTCTATTTCTTCTGTATCATCTCCTGTTATAACCATATCGTCAACATATATGATAAGACAGGTAATTGCAGTACCTCTCCTTTTGAGAAACAAAGTATGATCTGCATTGCTCTGTTTGTATCCGAACTTCTTCATTTCCACAGTGAACCTTCCAAACCACGCCCTTGGTGACTGTTTCAGTCCATACAGGGCTTTCTTCAATCTGCATCCTTCACCTTTACCAAAGCCATGTGAGAATCCTGGTGGAGCTTCCATATAGACTTCTTCAGAAAGATCTCCATGAAGGAATGCGTTTTTTACATCGAACTGATACAGAGGCCAATCTTTGTTCGCTGCAACTGAAAACAGCACTCTGATCGTGTTGAAGTTTGCTACTGGAGAAAAAGTTTCATCATAATCTATCCCATAAGTTTGCGTGTATCCTTTGGCCACCAGTCTTGCTTTATATCTTTCAATACTGCCATCTGCTTTATGTTTAATAGTGAACACCCATCTGCATCCCACTGGTCTTTTTCCACTAGGTACCACACACTTTTCCCATGTTTTGTTTCGGACAAGTGCGTTGATTTCTTCCTCCATTGCCTTCTTCCAGTGTTTGCTTTTTAGTGCTTCTTCAGTTGTAGTAGGGATGGACTCAGAGTAAATAGCTGCATTAAAGGCTTTTGTTGCTCGGGACAAATTCCCTTCACTAGGTCTGCTGACTGGATACTTTGATCTTTGTGCTTCAAAGTCTGGATCATACCGTTTTGGAGGAACACCTCTAGTGCTTCGGGGAGGTAGCACATATTTTTCAGAGTTTTCTTCAATCTTTTGCTCCTGGCTTTCCTCTTCCCTGGTACTTTCAGAAGACATACCAGATTTTCCTTCAAAGGGAATATTAGCAGGCTCACATGAATCAGGAGTACATACCTCATTTTCATCCCTTATAGGATTCTCAGTCAGGGTGTTTGAATCATCAGGCAAGGCACCTTGTAGGCTGGATTGTAGAATGTTGTCAGTTATCTTGGTGGCTTTGCCTACTTGTTCTTTTGGATCAGGATCAACCAACTCCGGATAGGTTAGCCAACTTAGATCCTCGACTGAACCCTCCCCCTGAGATCTAAGGTGGTGATAGTAATACTCGGTTTCAACAAAGTCACAATCCATGGTAGTATAGAGTCGGTTTGTGACAGGGTCAAAACATCGATATCCCTTTTGGTTGATCCCATATCCCACGAAGACACATCTAACAGCCCGGGGAGCTAATTTATTCCTACTACGTTTAGGAAGATGAACATACACAGTGCACCCAAAGACCCGGGGGGGTAATGAGTGAGCTGCGGGAACAGTAGTATGTGTTTTGAGAGTGTTTAAGGGTGTATCATAATTAAGGCTTTTGGTTGGGAGACGGTTAGTAAGGTAATTGGCTGTGGCAATTGCTTCGGGCCAAAAAAAGGCTGGAACATGGGATTCAATCATCATGGCTCTGGTCATTTCAAGTAGTGTTCTGTTTTTTCTTTCGGCAACTCCATTTTGCTGTGGAGTATCAGGACAAGTAGTTTGGTGGATAAGGCCATTGCTTTTGGTAAAGGATTCAAGGTCAAGGTTTTTATATTCCCCCCCATTATCGGATCTAAGAATTCGGATTTGTGTTTGGAATTGTGTTTTAGCCATATTATAAAAAGAAATAAAGGTATCATATACATCAGACTTATTTTTCAGAAAATATACCCAACTCATTCTAGTGCAATCGTCAATAAAAGTCACATAATATAAGAAACCATGCTTATTAAATTCAGGAGCATGTCCCCAAACATCAGAATGAATAAGGATAAAAGGAGTTTCAGTGCGATTATTACTACTAGGGTATGAATGTTTATGGCTTTTGGCCAAAATACAAGCCTCACAATCAAATCTATTTTTGAATTTGCAAGAGAAGGGAAAAGTTTTTTTAAGTACCCTAGGGATGGATGACCTAGTCGGCGATGCCATGTCCAAAGCTGATGTTCAACCGATCCACGAACAAGCGCTGTGCTGCCCTGGTGAGACATCTGATCAACATAATACAACCCATTTTCTTCAGTACCACGCCCAATGATCTTCCCTGTTTGAGAATCCTGTACAATACATCCACTAGAGTCCATTAGAACAAAACAATTTAATTCTTTAGTTAACTGGCTAATGGAAAGCAATTTATGAGACAATTGAGGAATTAAAAGGCAGTTGGGTAATCTAATATTATTGGAGATATTAATTGAACCCGAGCCTTTTACACTAATTAGTTCTCCATTAGCAGTCTGGATGTGATTTTTTGTGGGCTGATTTAACTTTTCAAGGTCCATAATGTCATGGGTCATAGTGTCAGTTGCCCCACAATCAAAAACCCATTTTCCCTTTTTGTCAACGTGACTAAGTAAACTAAGTGGATGATTTATGGGTTTAGTTTTATTGTTCATGGACTCAAAACTACTAAGTGGATCAGTGGGCTCAAGGATTTTATTTTCCTGAATAAAATTAGTGGGCTTAGAAAGAGTGTTTAACCTCTTTCTACTAGATTCATATACCCCCCTTTCGTGGGTAGGCACGCAAAAGGTAAGGGTTTTACCTTCATCACTTTCTCTTTCTAAATGCAAACCTGATTTTGTTGTTGAAGCAGCAGCCATGGCTTCTCCTCCTTCACCATCGCCGGCGCTGTACGCCACTATGCTTGTGCTCGGCTTTTTTGCTGTACCCTTGCCTTGATTTTTTGGCCCCTTCTTCTTTCTTTCGGTCCACCATTCCGGGTACCCAATGATTTTGAAGCACCCGTCCTTTGTGTGACGAGTCCCACCACAATGAGTACATTTCAGACTCGCTCGATCGTCTTCTCGCCGGAAAGCTGGTTTTTCAGTTCTTCCCTTTGCCGCGAAGCCGCTACCAATCCTCGGTGAGTCACTTGATGAGGGGTTTGTAGTGGTCTTCATTATGCCACGGCGTGAGAGTTCTCTTCTGATACTAGCGTAGGCCTCTTCGGTCGTTGGAAGTGGATCTCGGTGAAGGAGGTCCCGCCGGTCCTTGTCTAGGGTCTCATCAAGCCCTGCAAGAAACTGATAAAGCCTATTTTGTTGATTTAAACGATTAAAAATCGTTTTATCCTCTGGGCAAGTCATCGGATTGGGAAGCCTTCTATCGATTTCCTTCAAAATCGCTGTGAGTTTGTTGTAATAGACCTCAATCGGGTCTGTCCCTTGTTGAATTTTATTTGCTCTGACCGTGAGGTCAAAAAACTGTAATCCATCTTTACTGCTGCCATACATTGTTTCGATTCCCTTCCATAATTCTCTTGCTGTTGGGTAATCAAGAAACTGATTTTGTAATTCCGGTTCAATATTCTCGATCACCCATGAAATCACAATCGAGTCCCGTTGAGCCCACTTGGTGTACTCGGGATCTTCAGGAGGCGGTGGTGGGGCTGTGATATGGTTTAGCCTCCCCCGTCCTCCAATGCCGAGTTGCATCAACTTAGACCATTTTGTATAATTTTTGTGATTCAGTTTCTTTGAAATTTGGATGGGTTGATTTGAGGTATCAATGGTTGACTTGTTGGTGTTTAACTGTGATAACAGTTGCAATAAGTCTTTCATTGTTACTGGTTTTGAAACAATGGATTCGTTGTCGGTTTCCATGGTAAATGATGTCGCTAAGCGTTTCGGTCGCCGGAAAACAACCTGGCTCTGATACAAGATAAAAGTAAGCATGAGGTCAAAATCTGTAATCATCTTTATGCTGATACATTGTTTCGATTTTTATTTCTTGCTGTTTAACAAAACTGATTTTGTAATTCGTTCTATTCTCGATCACCATGAATCACAATCGAGTCCGTTGAGCCACTTGGTGTACTCGGATCTTCAGGAGGCGGTGGTGGGGTTGTGATATGGTTTGCCTGTCTATGCGAGTTGCATCAATTAGACCATTTTGTATAATTTTTGTGATTCAGTTTCTCTGAATTTGGATGGGTTGATTTGAGGTATCAATGGTTGACTTGTTGGTGTTTAACTGTGATAACATTGCAATAAGTCTTCATTATTACTGGTTTTGAAACAATGGATTCGTTGTCGTTTCCATGGTAAATGATGTCGCCTAAGCGTTTCCGGTCGCCGGAAAACAACCTGGCTCTGATACCAAGATAAAAGGTAAGCACTGAGGTCAAAAATCTGTAATCCATCTTTACTGCTGCCATACATTGTTTCGATTCCCTTCCATAATTCTCTTGCTGTTGGGTAACCAAGAAACTGATTTTGTAATTCCGGTTCAATATTCTCGATCACCCATGAAATCACAATCGAGTCCCGTTGAGCCCACTTGGTGTACTCGGGATCTTCAGGAGGCGGTGGTGGGGTTGTGATATGGTTTAGCCTCCCCCGTCCTCCAATGCCGAGTTGCATCAACTTAGACCATTTTGTATAATTTTTGTGATTCAGTTTCTCTGAAATTTGGATGGGTTGATTTGAGGTATCAATGGTTGACTTGTTGGTGTTTAACTGTGATAACATTTGCAATAAGTCTTCCATTATTACTGGTTTTGAAACAATGGATTCGTTGTCGGTTTCCATGGTAAATGATGTCGCCTAAGCGTTTCCGGTCGCCGGAAAACAACCTGGCTCTGATACCAAGATAAAAGGTAAGCACTGAGGTCAAAAATCTGTAATCCATCTTTACTGCTGCCATACATTGTTTCGATTCCCTTCCATAATTCTCTTGCTGTTGGGTAACCAAGAAACTGATTTTGTAATTCCGGTTCAATATTCTCGATCACCCATGAAATCACAATCGAGTCCCGTTGAGCCCACTTGGTGTACTCGGGATCTTCAGGAGGCGGTGGTGGGGTTGTGATATGGTTTAGCCTCCCCCGTCCTCCAATGCCGAGTTGCATCAACTTAGACCATTTTGTATAATTTTTGTGATTCAGTTTCTCTGAAATTTGGATGGGTTGATTTGAGGTATCAATGGTTGACTTGTTGGTGTTTAACTGTGATAACATTTGCAATAAGTCTTCCATTATTACTGGTTTTGAAACAATGGATTCGTTGTCGGTTTCCATGGTAAATGATGTCGCCTAAGCGTTTCCGGTCGCCGGAAAACAACCTGGCTCTGATACCAAGATAAAAGGTAAGCACTAATTTTGGGTTTTAATTTTTATGTGTTATAATTCGGTTCACGTTTTACAGCAATATATACTGAGTCACTTGCCTTAATAGCATACAGCCACCCTATAATCACTCCTGAAAATTCGGGAATGATTTGATACACTCAGGCTAAGTATGGAAGGTAAAAATTACAAGAATATTACAGAATGTTCTAACATATTCTAATAGATGTTGGGACAATCCTTTCTGTTGCTCAAACTTTGTTAGCAGCATTGGATTGTGATCAGCTTAATAAGATTTGCTCCACTGCTGAGTACAAATCCAAACTCAATGAACTCCGTCTCACTGTCAAAAGAATCGAAGCCGTGCTCAAGGATGCTGAGTCCAAGCAAGAGCTGTCCGAACAAGAACGGCTCTATAATGAACAACTCAAGGATGCTGTTTATGAAGCCGATGATCTCTTCGATGAAATTGTCACTCTTGCTGAGCGGAAGCAGCTCACCCAGGGTATCAACGATCGTGTGCTTTCTGTTTTTACCAAGTTTGGTACTGCTTACAATATGAGTCAGAAGGCTACGAAGATCAAGAGTAAGCTGGATGCTATTGCTTATGATAAACGCTTCAGCTTGAGCATTGATCCTAAGCCTATTAAGAATCGAAGGCCTGAGACTTGTTCCTATGTGTATGATGCTGATGATATCATTGGAAGAGGGCTTGATTTAGAGAAGATTGTTGGTGTGTTGCTTGATTCTAATGTTCAGAAAAATGTTTCTTTCCTTTCTATTGTGGGGATTGGTCGGTTGGGGAAGACTGCTCTTGCCCAACTTGTGTATAACAATGAAAGAGTCACAACTGCATTCTCATTAAAAATGTGGACTTGTGTCTCTGATGAGAATGAGGAGTTGTTGGATGTACAAGGGGTTCTTGATAAGATTCTAGCTTCGGCCACAGGTAAAAAGAAGATGAATGAGGATTTTAACATGGATGTGTTGCAAAGCAAACTTCGAGAACAACTTGCTGGGAAAAAATACTTGCTTGTTTTGGATGATGTATGGACTGAAAATTATGAGCAATGGCAAAAATTGAAGCAATATTTGATGGGAGGTCAGAAAGGAAGCTGGATTGTGGTTACAACACGCTCACATCGAACTGCGGAAATCATAGGAGACCGTCTAAAGCATGAACTAGAAGGCTTGTCAAGGGAAGATTCATTGTGTTTACTTAAAAAAGTAGCATTTGGATCAGAACACTCAAACCCTCCCGAAGACTTGGTCAAAATTGGTGAAGATATTGTAGAGGAATGTGCTTTTGTCCCTCTTGCAATTAGAGTGGTGGGAAGTCTTCTCTTTGGCCAAGAAAAAACATATGTGGCTGAAAATTCAAAAGCTGGGATTAGCGCAAATCAATAGAAGCGAAAATAGCATTATACCTACATTGAAGCTGAGTTACTATCAGCTTGAATCCCCACTGAAAAGTTGTTTCTGTTATTGTGCAGTGTTTCCTAAAGATTATGTGATGGAGAAGAATACATTGATAAGGCTTTGGATGGCACAGGGCTACATCCAGTTGAATGATGATCATCAAAGTCCGGAATATCTTGGTGAGGATTATTTCTCGATCTTGTTGCGGAGAAGTTTCTTGCAAGACGTGAAGAAAGACAAAGAAGGTAATATTAGATCATGTAAGATACATGATTTAATGCATGATCTTGCTCAACAAGTTGTGGGAAAAGAGATTTTTAGAGTGGAAACCATGAATGGGGATGTAGACAATAAAGTTCGTCATCTCACTCTTATTAGACATACAAAAAATTTCTCTTTTACTAAAAATAAGAGCCACCTACGTTCATTTCATCGTAAGGATTCAAGATGGATCAGGTTTGTGCGTCTGTCAAGAATCAAGAGTTTGCCGGGCTCAATAGGTGATCTGATACACCTGAGGTATCTAGACCTCTCATGCATTGAAGGTTTAGAATTTCTCCCAAGATCTATTACAAAACTATACAATCTCCAGACTTTAAACTTAAGTGGTTGTGAAAGTTTGAAAGAATTGCCAAAAGATTTTAGGTCATGTAAGATACATGATTTAATGCATGATCTTGCTCAACAAGTTGTGGGAAAGGAGATTTGTAGAGTGGAAAGCATGAATGGGGATTGGAAGAACAAGGGGCATGTGTAAGCTGAGTTGGCTCCACACTATTAATGAGTTTGTGTTGGGAGACATGAGTTCAAGTAAGAACAGCTTACTTGAAGGATTGGAAGATCTAAAAGCTCTAAGTAACCTGAAAGGTATTCTTGTGATCATGGTTCGATATATGAAGACAGGTTATAAAATAAATGGTGGAAAGGAAGATGGGTGCCTGGTGAACAAGGAACATCTGAAAGAAGTGTTCTTTAATTTCACTAAGAATGGAAGAAAGGAGTATGAAGAATCAGTGATGGAAAAGTTGCAGCCACATTCTAATCTCAAGACCTTTAGTATGGAGGGATATCAATGCCAAGTTGGGCAAGGGACAATTATAACTTGGCTAATCTTGGACAATTATTTGGTGTTGCGAAAAAGTGGAATCAATGCCGAATTGGATGTCCAAACTCACCTCTCTTAGACAACTTCAAATCAGATATTGTTTAGCACGGCTGAAAGAAAGATGCCAAGAATCAACCGGAGAGGACTGGCCCCACATTCAACACATTCCTTCCATTTATATATCAAATAATTAGTGTATTTCTAGACTTAAGGATTGCATTGCTGTTGTAACTCCTACAAAATCACGAATCTATGATGAAATGGGTTCTTGAGATGGATTAATTTATATAGCCTTGTGACATACTACTAATTAAACTAACAACATTGTCACCATTTTAAGTGATGTTCTTATTATAATATTTGAGAGTGACTTGAGAATCTTGTTTTTAATTTTTATGTATTGATGCTCTGGTTTTTCTCATGAAGGAAATGGTGTCCAGGAATCATGTACTTATATCTCAATCAAGGACCCTGACTCGCTATTTTCTTGAAGACGGAGTTGCTACATTCTCCCATCAGAAAATTGTACTAATATACCACTATCCAAATGTTGGTGCAATCTTTTCATTTTTCTTCTTTTCCTTGTAGATTGTAATATTGTATGAGATTATGTCATAAAGTTTTTCTCATGCACTCTTGTGTGATTATGAAACAGTTGAGATGCTGATGAATTTACTTTATAATTCTTCACACTAATGAATTAAGTCATTGTAGTAATTTGCTTCAATGGGTAAGACTAACCCAACTCATTATTTGCTTGCTGTTATCATTCTTACAACCTGAAGGTCCATGGGGTTCGTTTTGTTTCTGAACCAGTAGACCTCACACTGTTTCTGAAAAAGACTCATATTGGATATATGCAGCTGTGTTGTGTAATGTTTACATTATTAGATTATTTGAATCCACTAGTGAAATCGAGTCTCTGCCAGCTTTATTAGGCTGTTGGTGTTGGTCAGAGGCATCAGTCCTGCCTATCGTGTTTTTATTTTTAAACTTTTTATTTTGATGAGAAGCACATTGCACTTATAGTTTACTCACACTGGCAGTGAGAGGTAAGCAACAATCCCTCCAAGTCTCAGAGATTTGGACTCTTATGAGGTTTCTTAAAAACACCTGCATAGTATGAGCAGCTTCTTAAAGATGAAGTCAGGAGAAAATACTCAAACAAACAGTATAAGGATCGTAAGGAGAAAACTACATGACACTAGTACGCTACAACAAAGCATCCACAAACATTAACAAATGCTTCAGTACAATAAGGCTTATAGCCTTGCTTCTTATAATTTTCAACATAAGAAATGTTAATAACCTTATAATCATCATTAACTGAATCATACCCAAGTCCACACATTGTAATGTTATTTTTAAGAGCAAAAGGTGAGATAGGCAACTCTTTCATGGCTGTCGTAGTTGGATTTACTAATAACCACTTGTTAAATGGTTCATTATTCAGCAATATTAACCCATCACAAGAGGCAACATTACTCCTTTCGGTCCGAATATAAATGCGATCACTGAGATTAAGCTTGCTAGCAAAAACAGTGATTTCTTCACTCCTGTAGTGGGCATTTTTAAAATGGACAGAATAGAAAGATGAAGTAGAGTCATTGGAAACAAAGAGGAGTGATTCTTGTGTTGTTGGGATATGTTTGATTCGATTTAGGTGGGTTTTGATGAAATGGGGTTGTGAAAGAAGAGACTTCCATGGCTTCGACACACACGGGGATCTCCCGATTGATTTTGAAGGTAGCCGGGAGAGTATGTTGACAATGATGTCTTGTGGAAGCACCTCCATGTATGCTGGTTATTTGAACTTTTTTGAATGACAATCAGAGGCTTCAAAGGATTCAAATATAATCAAAGAAGATTAATTAGAGCATTTAATGGATTGCACCTAATATCAATTCATGGTGCTGATAAAACACTTAAAATACGAGCTGAATACTTTCACTGAAGCCTTATACATTCCTGGCTTCCTGCTATGTTCCAAGATTCAAGTTCTCCCAAGTGCAACTGTCCGTCCAACTGCAAGAGAGGACTGTCTTTTCTTCACATCGCTTGGTAATCCGTATTAATTTTACAAGACAAATAAATAAATAAGTACGAGTAAAAGTATTTAACTATTTTTAGGTGATTACTCGTATCAAATTGCTGAAATTTGGCCTATTTACTAAATTACTGAAGTAAAAATAATCATTTATTTGCTAACCTCAACTCATTGTGAGAATAAAATTTGCATGTCGTGTACCCCTAGTTTATTTAATAAAACAAATAATAACGTATGATACTAGTTGCTATTCAAAAAACGTATGATACTAGTTCAAAATCAAAAAGGTATGGCCTGTGTTGCAAGCTCGCTACAAATATAAAGTAAAACATACTCTTAATTCAAACCCAAATAATATAGGTTGTTATTTTGGCCAGATGCACCATCTCATTTACAAGTCCTAATACTCCGTATTCTTTTACCCTTAATTGTGCCCTTTTCATCTTATAATTGTATATCTTTATCTATTTATGTTAATGTTACAGCTTGTAAGGAAAGGGAAATGCTAATTGACAGAGTTATCACATGTAAAGAGAAACAGTTACCAACTTACTATGAAAAGATGAGCAAAAGACCAAAAGTTAAGATTATTCGTGTAAATTTTTCATTTAAATTAAGATTAAAGAATTCTTCAAGCTTCCAAATGTTGGACTAATCATTGAGAAGTTAAATCATGTGGGAAGTTATCCCATTAACTACACAAACCATCATGTTAATTAAGCACTCTACTGAGATACAAATTGCCCACTACAAAGGACCTATAATTACCGCAATTGGACTGATTGGAGGCTGATAAATTACTGCTACAAGTCCGCTTCAAAGTTCAAACCCTACAGATGCTCTCTATCTGCATTAAGATTACATCTACACTAGCATACAAGACATGATACAAATGGAGTTAAAATTTGGAGTCAGCGGTTCATTTACCCTTTCCTCTGCCTCTTCGTGTGTAACCTCTCGACTTTCTCTCCTTTTGTGTGTCCTTGACTTTGGATGCCGGGCTATCTCCTGCAACCGGCTGGCTAAAATTTTGTGACAGTTCCTCCTGTTGCATGCTAGAGCTGTTTTGGGAACCATTAACCACAGCGTCAGTTGGTATGTCAATAACTGGCTCCTCTTGAGGGTTTAAGTTATCTTCCATATGAGTATCACGTTCTGCTTGGCTTGAATCAACCAACTTCCCGTTCTCTCCTTCAGATGGCCTTGCCTCATTAGCAGTGTCCTGTGCTTGATCCAAACTGCCCAAAAGATGAGGTATGGATATGATAAGGTTTTCTTTCCATTATAATTCTTTTTTAACATAGATAAGTTTTTCTCAAGAAAGTGTACAAGTTACGCCAATATGATAAGGTTTTCTTCCCATTATAATTCTTTTTTGAACATAGATAAGTTTTTTCTCAAGAAAGTGTACAAGTTACGCCTGACTCACCCAGATGCAGAACACCCATAGCCATTTTCTGCTGTTGTGTCCTTCAACTGCTTCACTTCATCATTATCATTCTGCCTCAACTCTAACACATGGAGCATAGCATAAAAGTTAGCTGACGACAGACAACAGATTATCAATATTCTTCTACATTAACAGGCAAGGTGGACTGCTGTCCAAAAGGAAGAGGGGGGGAAAGGTAGTTTGAATCATGGAAGCAGCTTCTAAAAGCTAACATCCTTCGCACAAAAATATACGAGTTCCAAATTATAGTCAACAAAGCTTTTATACCACAAAATATGCCAATACTTTAATCCTTACACAAAATCTCAGATGAAGCAGTTCTATTCCTCTTTTCCTTCAAAAATAAGACACTTGCTCCACATTTTTTTAATCAAACCAACAATGGAAAAAGAAAAAGGCCGACTTCCCATCATGTATTTTCTTGCTGTTCATCCAACATTATGTGTATACAACTGAGTATTAAGTAATGCACTTTGAGAACAAAAGTATTACCAGCAGCTTCCTGGGACTCTTGGTGCTCCACAGATTGAATAGCCTCCCCCTCCTTCAGGACACAATTTTTAAGAAAATCAAAATATATACATAGAAACCCAAAAACTTCCCTCAAAGACACATGAAAGACCCCCACCCCTTATCTGACCCAAAAATAAGTAAAATTATTAATTTATTATTTATTTGTTTTAGTGGTATAAAAGAAAAAGTCACACAGATGTATCAAGTACAAACCTGGCTGACTCTGTAAAGAGTACTAGTTTCATTTTCTGGCTTATCATGCGTTGACTCTGCAGGGCCTGAAAATAGAGTCAAAATTAATTTAAAGATTAAAAGGTCCTTTTGAAAGCAGAGTAACCAAATTGCTTAGCTTAAAATCAGTCCACATTTATGAATTAGTTCAAAATGTAAAATTCCATTAGGGTCACAATAATATATTCACATCACTATACATTTAATGCCATAGTAAATGCTTCGGTTAAACTACATGCCAGCGAGTATAGGATATACAACTGACCTGCTCCTTCCTCAACTTCTTTATTCAATACTGAATCTTGAGGCAGATTACTTTCAGAAGAAAACAGAATGGTCTTTGTCAGTGGTGCAGAAGCTAATAACTCCTCTGTAGCTTTTGAGCGCACTCTTCGAATTTCCTCCAATAAATTCCAAGAACCAGATGTAAAAGAACTCTTTTTCATCTGCAGGCACATGATGTTCCAAAAAAATTAACAAGAGGAAAAACTATATTACTTCAAGCACATGTTAAAGATAACAGAAATAAGAAGCAATAATGATCAGTAATTCAGTAGCAATACACACACACATACACACACACACACACACACACACACACACAAAAAAAAAAGAAAGAAAATAACAATCATATAAAACCTCCAAACAACATTGCAAGACTGCATCACATGAGACATGATGGGAAGTTCAAACTCAAATACTTCAAAATTGGAACAATGGGGCAAATGTCACTTGCCAAGCATTATAAGATACAAGGCATCAAATTTTATGAGGCCAGTGGCAATGACCTCCAATACCGTCCTCAAAGAAGAAGAAGAAAAAATAAAGGAAAAAAAAGATAATGTTGTCTGATTCACATTAAGCATAGCACACTAGGGATATAAAATACTTCATACATTTTGTTCACCCAGCCAGAATCCATATGTATAAATATAAAACACAAACAGCAATCACTTGAGAGAGTAACCAGCAAGCAAGAATGTTCTTAGCAAAACAATAATAAACCTTCAGCATTAAAAAACGAAAATAACACTGCCACAAAAAGAAACATCACCCAAAGGTAAACATAACAACTCATTCTATCTCTTCAAGCAAAAAAAGTCACTCCTAAAGTAGGAGAAATTCAAGGAAACACAATTATACAAAACATTTTGAAAATATGATTGTCGAAGTACCAATAAAAGTAACTGGATGGTGAGTTACTTTGAAGACAGCAGGATAAGTTAACAAAAATCTAATATAATACCTCAGAGCTGCGTAAGGTTGACATCGGTGTTTCTTCCTTGAAATGTAGCATGCCCAACGGTGATGAAGATCCAGCCTCAGCTTGCTTCAAAGTCGGAGATGCCCAGGCAGGGCGATTCAGCATATATGATCTTGCCATATCCACAGGGGAGCCATTCTCACTTCTGGAGATCTAGCTCAATGAAAAAAATTGATAGCATGTTACCCGTGAATGGCATATACATAGCCGTTATAAAAATTCAAAACAACAAGCCTGAACACAAGTTGATGTGTGCTCATATAGATAGCCGATATAGTAATACATATTACATAGACAACATTTTGTCTAAGTAACATGTTATAAAGCAATCCTCCAGACATCACAGCACTTCCACCCTTGAAAGCATCAAAATAGAACAGTTATACCAAAATACCTATGCCTGCATATCAGCCAGTGACCCAGAACCTGATAGCAGCCAAAGTTATGGACACTCATGAACATATACAGCACAAGCAAGGTTGTACAAAGTAATCATAAACACACGCACGACAAAGACGAGTATATCCAGATTTTAAAAAACAACTAATCAACACACAAAAGCTGAACATCCAGGCAACCTTGTTAAATTTTGATAACATATCAACGTAAAGACATTGACAAGATTTGTAAGAAAAGGTACTGACTTGGAATGGTGACGCCACATTTGCCGAATCAAGCTCCATCTCAAACTTTTTCTTTGAGCCTGATCTTTTCTCCTGCAGCCATTTCCTGGCTTCCATAATTGCTGAGGTTCGCATATTTGGAGAAGTTTCGCCTTGAGGACATAAATCAGGAAAAAAAAAAAAAAAACAGTTCTATCAGGCAATTACATAGACATTGCTGTCAATATCAGGATCAAAATCTTGCAAAGCAGTTTACCAAAAGTTCCATTGCTGTCCACTATACGAGACCTGACAAGTTTTATCAATTCATTTGCTTCTTTCCTGGCCAGAGAAAACATCAACTGACATGAACATACAACTCCAAATTGAACATGTTAAGTAAACTAATAAAAAAGATATGAAGTCAACCATATCTGCTGACTGCTGTAAATGCCAGACAGCAAAATGGGAAATAGTTGATTCAGATAATTGTTGCCCTAAGGCCAATGTCCAGTACCAATTATGTATATGATATCCTTAAGTATGCTTATAAAGTAATTGCATTGCTATTTTGTGATAAACTATTCTTAAGCTTGTTAAGATAGTTAGTATAGTCATACAAATTCAAATGTTAGACATCATACATCAAATAAAGGCAGTGAGCGAATAAAACGTAAATAGAAGAATAATGAAAGAACAGGGAACTGTCAAGCCATATTAAT